ACCTGCTGTGGTGAAAAAGCAGACTTCCCAGGGCTCTGGAACAGGGCCTCCCTCCGCCTGGCAGGGAAGCCTAACTGGCGCCAGGTGGCAGGGCCAGGAGAACGTGCCTGCTTGCTTGGCAGAGAGGAGGTGGCTGGCTCTGCGAGCTGCTTGGGATGCAACAACCGGAAGAAGTTAACTTTCTTACTAACAAGCTGTGACCTTGTTCACAAGCTCACCTTTGAGTCCAGTAGGTCAGAAAAACTAGCTCAGAGAGGTGGTGGCGACGGGCCCCATCCAGCTTTCTGATTGAAGAGCCGGGAGCACCTGGTGAGGGATGCTCTCGACACAGGTGCTACAGGGTGAGCCAGCCCAGCCCAGCCCGGCCGCCCTGCCGGCAGCTCCGTGCATATTGAGGCTTCTGTGTACCATGCCGCAGGGACCTGCGTTTCCAGGGTTTTCCTCAACGACAGGCCCTCTCCATTCAGCTCATCCTTCCATTCCTTCTAGAGCGAACTCTCGGAATCACACCCTCCTTTTCTCAGGTAGACCGTTGCTTTTCTCGAGGCGCAGAAGCATCTCTGTGACAGCAGTTCTGTGGTTTCTCTCTGGCCCTGGGCCCCCTGAATGGACCAGCAAGTCTGGTGTGACATTTCCAGACTTGCTGCTGTGAGGAAGAAGAGGAATTGGGTGGACTTTCTAGGGGATGACCTTGTGTGGGGCCAGTGGGGTGGGGGCTTGCTCCTCACCCAGTAGCCTGTGCCCTTCAGTGTCTGGCTTCTGGGAACAGGGCATTTCCGGCACGAAGCCTCAGCAGGGTCTGAGGTTGTATGACCCAGAGCTTGCTGGAGGCGCCCTGGCCGTGGCAGACAGCTACCCCCCCTCTGCTTAGGCTGCGTAGTGAAGGCCCTCACCTGTGGCAGAGGGATGGTTCCAGGTGTGACTCCCTCCCGCGAGTGAGGGACAGTGGACTTTGGTGAGGTGGGCTGGGGCATCTGAGGTTTGCTCTGGATTCCTTCAGCTCAGGGCTGAAGAATTCCACTCTGGGTTTGTAGGCGAAGATAAGCCCTGAAAAGGGTTCTGTTGGCACCTGAGCGGCACTCTCCCACCGGGTGGGTGGTTGACACATTCGGCTAAGTCCCATCTCGCCGAGATCCAAACTCACTGTGGTTGGGTCAGTCCGCACTCAGCAGGGGCCCTGCAGGACACAGTCGAACTGCTCCCTTGGGTTCCAGGCCTGTAGTCTTCATGACGCTTTCTTCCGTGGAGTGGCTGGTGGGTGCGAATCATCAGCCTTACAGTTGGCAGCCCCACACTTACCCGACTGTGCCATCTCTTTTGAATGGAAACACTACTCTGGGAACTCTCTTTGGATCGTTCTTAAAGCACGACAGGCAGGCAGCACTCAGCCTCCTGGCCCATCTGTCTCTTGCGGCCAGAGCCCGGGTGACAAAGGGGTGTATTTGTGGCTTCGTTACCCTTTTGCTGCCCCATCCCATCACTCCCTGCTTGGCTCCGGGGCCATCCCTCGCAAGATGACTCGACAAATGAGCCCCTCTCGGTCTCCAGGTTTTGCCAGTGGACCAGCATTTCATGAACTACATGAAAGAGTCCCTTCTTCGAATTCTGTCCCAAGGCCTGTTTGCTCTAAACGGGCCACCAACTCGAACGAGGAAACCGTTTCACGAGACTGACTCTTCAGTCCTTGTTTCCTCTGGGGGAAAAATCTGTCCTTATTCTAAACCAACTGGGAGCAGGAAGATGGTCAAAAGTGCGTCAGTGGGCACCACGCTTCACAACAGAACTCGAGAGACACTGTCCCCTCCCTCAGGTGGCACCCACCCCCAGAAGCCCCCCGCCAGAGGGAACAAGTCACTGTGGGCAGTGACGTTTCTTTGTGCTGTTTAACTTGCTGGGGAGCAGGGGCAATAGTAATTAGGAACTATTGACCACCAGGGCTGGTTTTCCCACCCCTCCCGCCCCTCAGAAATGCAAACTTGCCCCTTTGCTCTCTTTCCCACAGAAGCGATTTCTCTCAAGTTCCTACAGACGCCAAATAGAAATTCTAGGCATGTACTCAGTGTGACAAAACCCTCCTACAATAAAAATGTCACTGCCCTTGGAGTTTGTGGGAGTAGAATTTGACCGGCCCGGGAGCTTGGTGGCCAGGGAGAGAGCAGGCTGCTGCTCTCCAGCTCCTGTGTGGGGAGGGCATCTCTTCCTCCTCTTCCTCGGTCTCAGGATTACTTTCCTTCCTGAGGTGTTTGTTGTTTAAAGGATTTCAGACCGAGATGGAAAGAGAAAGGAAAGGAGTTAATGATCTCCCGTTGGTTTACAGACAAAAGCAGAGCAGCTTCTGTGACAGGTGCCCTCTGTCGGTAGAAGGGCCAGTGGAGAAGCCAGAGGAAAGAGGGAGCCGTTGCCGAGGGCTGGAGGGGACAGGGATGTCTGCAAGGCGCCGGGAGCTCACTGAGACTGCTGTGCTCAATCTTTATTTGAGAGGTTGGCCTGGAGACGGTAGCATGGTTCCGAGGCGTACTACATGGCGGGAAGTGGGCAAATCTCAACAAAGTGTTCGCATCTTGCAAGGTACGCTGGGGCCCTGACAAGTTCCAGTAAGAGCTGGGCCAGGTTAAGAGAGAGATGGGAACTCCCTTGTCCTCCGGAAAACATTCCTGGGAATGATGCTCAGAGCAAAGCTGCGCTTCTAGGAAAACGAGGAACCTGAGGGAACAGGGAGAAAAGGACCGTTTGGCGTGGCAAGGCAGTTCCTGGTGATTCCTCAGGGACTGGCCTCATGGCCTCTTGGGGTGTGGTGGTGGGTGGGGAGCCAACTTCCCTCTGGGTGACCTGGAAATTGCAGATGGCAGGAAAGGTGGGCTGTAACCCACCTGTAGGGGGCCAACATGTTCCCAAACATCAAAGGAAGCTGTTTAATCTGCCTGCTCCCTTCTCTCCACGCAAAGTCTACTTTCACACTCTACATGCGAGGAAGCCGTCATCTCTGAAGTCAGAGTTGGTCAGCACAGGACTCAGTGTCACGTCAGACCTGCTTTCTGCTTCTGCCTATTTGTCTTTCCAGTCCATTAAGAAAAATTAAGTATAGGCTATGATTTGGGGACAGATGGGACACACGGGACACTGTAACAGCAGGAAAAGACAAGTGGAGAACCTACCTGAGTAGTGGGGCATCCCCACTAACTTGTTGTCCACTTTTTGGCTCAAGTCCTGGGGCATCCCCCTCCAGCCCATCGCCCCGCACACTTTCCGCTCCCTTGGCTCCATTCTGCTCAGGAAGTTGAGGGGTTTGGTGTACAGTTTCGGCTGCCCCACATTCAGTTTCTTCTCCTCTATTTCATTCTTCAGCTTCTTGTTCTCCTGCTGCAGATGCACCATGACGTTGTGGAGGTGACTGTGGACAGAGGGAAGGGCAGGCGGGTGGGTGGTCTGCTTTCACTCATTGGTGCCCGGCTCGACAAACAGAAAGATGTCACCGGAAAGAGGATGGCGGGTGCCCAATTCTTTTCAGAGCTGGGGACCTATGATGCCTTGAATCGTGTTACCCCCAAAGATATAGGTTGAAACTCTAAATAGGGTAGTTGAAGCTAGTGTCAGATAACAGGACGTCCTACTGCATGCAGTAGGGTGGAAGCTGATGCCGTCTAAGTAGTGTCCTGATAAAAAGAGAAAAGACACAGACAGACGGACAGACAGACAGAAGACAGCCACGTGAAGATGTATCTGCGTGCCAAAGAACGCCTAGGACCACCAGAAGCTGAGAAAGACAAGAAAGAATCTAAGCCCCCGGATAGAACATGTCGCTGTTGACGTCTTCACTTTGGACGGCTAGCCTCCAGAGCTGTGAGGCACTCCCCTTCTGTTCTTGGAGGTCACGGAGTGGTGGGCCTTTGCCATGGCAGTCTTCTATAAATGGAGGCCTGTGATGTGCAGGGGCAGAAGCCCAGGCCCGGGGTTGGGGTAGATTCAGAATGAGGACTCCTAAACCCATTCCCTTTGAATGCCGCTTATCAATTAGAGGCGGGACAATCAAGCCTGACCTGCCTGCTGGGGTTAATATAAGCATCCATTGACATAAATGATATAAATAGGGCTAGCAAAGCCACAAGGCGGTCACCAAGCACGGCTTACCCAGTTCTGATGCCAAAGCCAACATGCAGCCAACTTCCCTGCTGAAGGGTTGGGAGCACAGGAGGTCTTAGCACTGTAGGGAACTTGGGAGAAATTACTTATCCTCATTTTATGGATTGAGGACATCGGGGCTGTGGTGTACGAGAGGGGACGATAATGTAGCACGTTCCCTATGGCACGATTTATTCATACTGAGAGTTATTCCCGCTCCAGATCAGAGTGTAGAGCACAGAGGATGGTCCCGGGCTCTGGAGCCAGACTTCTCAGCTGGGAGTTCTGGCTCTTTAACTTCCTGGCTGTGAGCCCATGCATAGTTAGCTTTTGATTTCTCTCTCGCCTCCGTGAGTGGAAATGAGAACTTGATCAAACTCATGAGGCCTGATGAGGATTTAGTCGTCAAATACATATAGAGCCCTTGGAACAGGGCGTCACACACGGCAAACGTGTTCGTTGCACCAGAGTTATTAGAAGACGGTTTCCTTTGAAAAAGGCTCAAGCACACTCAGATGTGAGTTGTGCGAGAAATGACTTTTCTGGACCTTGGCATACTATGAGGAAAAGCCAGGACTTCTCTGGTACCTTCCACATTGACATGTCACCTGGACCAAGAACAAAGGCATTGTGGCCCCCCCAACCGCCCCCAAATATTTTCTTTTAATCTAACTCAGAAAGTGCTCCTGTCACAGTGACAAAATTCATGGTCTTTTCTAGGGTAAGTCAAACAAAGATGTCCTCCTTGTGGCAGTCACCGACTCTGGTGTCAATTTAAGGATGAAGACTAGGGGTGGAGTCTGGGCTGTCATTCTGGAGATAGCCAATGAGACTTCTGGGCGGGCATGGCTTTCTCCTGGGAAATCTGGAACTTCCTCCTTGGAGGTGGAAGACATCTGTCTCTTTCTACTACTCCCTGAGAGACATTGCAGAAGACAAGCCACATGGACGCAACCAGGCCTTGGAAGCCGGAGAAGCCACAGAGAGACCCCTGCCAGTGCTGAGATGTTTCCAATGACACTGGATCCAAAGACTTTCTACCCACTGGCCTGTGACCATCCTGCATGTGCTTCGTGAGTCTGAAGAGGACTTTATAGATTGACATTGGACATGTGGGCTAATATCAGACTTAAGGACTTGGACTGGACTGGGTTGGGATGCTGTCTCAATGTTCAATTCCTCTTGTATACAAACCTCTTCCTTATACACACATGAGCGTCTATGAATTTTTTTTTCCAGTCTACCCAGACTAACACACTCCTCAACCTCTTCTCTAGACGTATGTTCTATGTCTTGCTCTCAGCAAACCTGGCTTGCTCTGAAGATGTCTCTTGCCCTGTGGCATCACACATGAAGGCCCCTCCACGTGGCAGTGGGCCTAGAGGTACAGTGTCAGTGTTATTCTCATTCCCTGACTCTCAGCCACTCTCTCGAGGTGCTCCTCGCATCAGTATCCTCGGGGCCTTCGACATGCCATAGAGTGTCCCCCCTTGACCTTACTTCTATGAAGATCGAGTCCTCCACCCCAACTTAATGACCCCTTTTAAGGTAAAGAACTCAAGCAGAGCTTTGCAACTCAGGTGTCAGCGATGAGTTATGAGGGTACTGATACACGGATGTCCTCGAGTTGATCAACTTTGTCATGAGCAACGCCATCCCAGACCCTCCCTGTGTGCCACACAAATGTGCCATTTCCCAAGTGTGCTCGGACAGCACGTTGGGAAGTACTTCCCTAGAGCTTACTACTATAACTCACTGCCAGTGAGTCCGTTCCGACTTAGGGCAACCCTAAAAGACAGTGTAGAACTGTCCCTGGGGTTTTACTAGACTAACTCTTTACAGGAGCAGAAAGCCCCCTCTTTCTCCCTCTGAGTGGCTGGTGGTTTTGAACTGTGGACCTTGCAGGTAGCAGCCCAACACATAACCACTGTGCCACCAGGCCTCCTAGAGCTTGTTACTCTACTACCTCTGAAATCTCCTCTGTCTCCTGGCCTAGAAATCCCTTGAATATTATTGAACGTGGTAAACGATTATTTCTCCTTTTATCCAGAAAAAAAAATCTCAGTTTTTAATTTAGGCCTTGACCTCTGTTCTCTGATGTCCACCTCTTATCTACATCATACTTTACTCCCGGCTGACCCAGCTTTGATGATGCAATTGAAGCAAGACCACAGGGTTTGGGAGCGGATCAGGTAGAAGGAATCTAAATCCCTGTATGACCACATGGAGCAGAGGACCTCCCTCAACTTGGACTGCTCGCCTCAGGCTGTGCCACAAAGTGGCAGAGTTCTACTCGCCTTCCTAAGGGGCCCTCTTGGTTATATAGAAGAGCTTAACCCGACCCTCACTCATTTAGCCTGCCTTTCTGCACACACCTGAGTCACACAGGTGAGAGTGGTCAGGGGCACTTAGATTATTAACCCCCTCTATATTGTTGGTGAACTCAGGCCCGGAGCCCAGTGCTTCATGCCGAATCAAGACGGGGTGGTCTTTCCGAACTGCCAGGCCTGCCCTTGTTGAACCTCAAACAGGTTCAACATAAGCCCCTGGCTCCTTGCTGATCCTTTTTCTGGGGTTTCAAGAAGCAGCCTGGGGGAAAGGTGGGGCAGCTTACTCTTTTTCACCGGTCAGTTTGGCGATGTATTTGACTTGCTCTCGGAGCTTGCTTCCTAGTTTCTCATTGGCGATCCTGTAAGAAAATCAATGGAAAAAAAGTCAGTTTCTTAGCCCCCTAGGACCCCGTCAAAGCTCAGGCCCGTTGAACATCCGCTAGGGCTAGAGCCTTCTTCGCTCTCATGTTGATCTCTGACTCCTGGTTTCAGAGGCTATCAATCTTTCCAGGGGCTAGTGGGTTCAGACTGCTGATCTGTGGTTAGCAGCCTGACTGCGGCCCCCAACTAATTGAGCAAGCCCCCTCGATCTTCCAAACCCTGGGTGTGGGTTGAGACTAGATCAGTTTCCCTGGAGGGCAGGGTGCATGTGTGGACGAGACACTTTGCTGGCACATACCAGGGGGCTTCAGAAGGGTCATGGAAAAACGGAATGAAATGAATGGAAGTTTCCAGGAGCTTTGGGAAGCCCCCTCCTATGGGGTGCTCTGGCTGGGCCTGAGTATAGGCAGGGCTTTACTTACTTCTGCTCTTTGGCCCACTGCTCCATGTTGGCCATGATCTGGTCATTCTCTCGGTGGAGCCGACAGTTTTCTTTGGGCACAGAGCGCTGGGTGGACCGAAGGACTTCCGCTTGGGGTATGCAGCAGGGCTGCCGTGGGAGCAGAAAGAGAGCCAGTGGAGGCGGGGCACAGAGCCATCCGCTCCCTGTGCCGAGTCAATCTTCTCTCCTCAGACGAGGTGAGGTATCAGCTCTATGTTCATCCACTAGGTCAGAGCTGGACTTGCCAGCCCCCACCCCACCCCTCCACTAGAACTCTGCTGGTGGCGCCCTGCATTAAGACCATTGTTTCTGAGAGGGCAGCATTGAGACTACGGGGCAGGAGATTTGTGCATTTATAATGATGCTTTTTCAGGCCAAAGGCCTTGAAGCCACTAGTTCTAAGAATGCAGTGTGCTGAGTATTCTAACCGGTGGAAAGGAAACATCTGGAGCAAGGGATACCTTCTCATTTGCACTAGGGCTTGTGGCCCACCCCACGCTGTCCCGAGGCCTCTGGCCGTGAACCTCACTGCCTGGGTAGCCTCTTAGCAGATTCTCCTGCTAGGGAGATTCTCAGCGGCTGAGGAGGGGGCTGGCGGTGGATGGTCTTCAGTCAGGGGAGGAGGGTGTGTGTACCTGGCAGAGAGGCGGCACCAGCTTCTTCTCTGGGCGGGGACATTTGCTCTGAGGGACGTCTTCTCTCTGCCGGCAAAGCCACAGGAAGTCCCTTGGGTCAAGACTGTTGCCATGGTCTGGAGCATTCAGACCCTGGCTGAGCACAGTGGGTTTGGGGTGTCCTTTCCCCCCTTCCAGGTACCTCCACCCAACCCAGGCCTGCCGGGCATCCCGGTGGCGAGTGTGCAGGGAAGGGCTGGAGGAAGCCAGCAGGCGGGCGGCGCTCCGGAGTCCATACCTTCTCATCATCTAGGAACTTCTTTTTCAGAGCAGCCATTTCTACCTGGAAGCCCATGAGCTGCTCCTCTTTGGCGGCCAGCATCTTGAGGTCGCTCTTGTGCTGCCTCTGCCACTGCAGCACCTGGCTGGTCATTTCCTCCAGTTTTTTGTCGAAGACATGCACCTGCTCAGGTGCAGAGTGAAGAGGGAGATCCCACCAGGCCCCCCTCGGCCCCAGAGGATCCAACAACGAGGCCAGAAGGTCCCCCACCTCCCCCACTTGTCCGATGCTGGGTGAATCTTGAAAGTCATCACCATGCCCACTGAGTTGATTTCCACCCATCATGACTCTCCAGGGCAGAGGGGCACTGCTCCCTAGGGTTTCCAAGGCTGTAAAGCTTTCATCTTTCTCCCAAAGAGCAGCTGATGGGTGTGAATCAGCGGCCTTTTCACGAGCACCCCACCGCACCGCTAGGGCTCCTTGGGAGACTTTTCCCTCACTGCCATCAAGTCAATTCTGGCTCATAGTGACCCTACAGGACAGGGTAGAATTTCCCCTGTGGGTTACCAAGACCGAATCTCTTTACGGGAGTAGAAGGTCTCATCTATCGCCCGCAGAGCAGCTAGTGGTTTCAAACTGCTGACCTTGCGGTTTTAGCAGCCCAGTGCAGAACCACTCTGCCACCAGGGCTTGGTGGGCATTTTATTTTCAGTGACCAGCAGAGGGCACCCCTACCCCGTGATCTTCACCTTCGCTCAAAGCACAGGGTGGAGCAGGCGGCAACCTTGTGGACTGGCTGGGAAGGGCCCTCACCTCCAGCTCGCTCTGCTGATGGAAGCCCTGGAGCTTTTTTAATTCCAGATTGAGCTTCCTCATCCTCTCCTCGTAAGCAGTGATTTCTTCCTCCAGCTGAGTTTTCCTCTCCTGGGTCTGCATCAGGCTTCGGTGCAGATCCTTTGTCTCTGCGGCCGTGTGATTGAGCTTCAGGTAAAGACAAAGGGGAGGAGGCCCACTGGGCCTTCTCTGCCGTGTCCACAGTGAAGAAGGTTCCAGGCCCTCCCCTGCTCTCTACTCAGGTGGCGTAGACAGGCCCCTAGCACCGTGTCCCAGAAAGGGGTAAAATTGACAGTGGCCTATTCTATATGCTTCCTCTGCTGTACTGTTGTGCCTCTAACACACCCGCACACCCGCACACACGTACATGTCCACTTTGACTCTTTGCAGCCCTAGTGTGCCCTGGGTTACCCACAGGCAGAACTCACTTCTATCTTGTTAGACTCTCTAACATCTCTCTCTTCTCCCTCCCATCCCAAAGGCTCAGAAGAGGAAGCATGCCCCCACTGGGCTGAAACCCCCAGGCCATGCAAGAGCTGGTGGATTTGAGATTGCCCCAGGGACAACCAGTTGAGGGGACTCCGTTTCCTGTGCCCTGTCACTTCTCTGCAGAGCAGCTCAAAGGGGAGCAGGTATGGCCCCACCTTCTCCAGGGCACGAGTCAGGTCCTCTTGGCAGGTGGTTGCCCTCCGGGCTAACTCCTCGTAGGCATCCTTACTGACCATGTTCTGGATAGCCTCCTTCTCCTTCTGGATAGCCTTGTCCAGCTTGGCTTTTAAGTCCGTGATGAGCTCTTTTTGCTGGGCTATCTTTAGAGAGGGAAACATCAATGTCAGGCCCCCAACTATGGCCATAGGAGACAGACTAGACCTGGGCTCTGCTGTGTTTGTGCTCACCTGCAGAAGAGTCTGTTTTAACTCCCCCCACCCACCATCTCCCTGTTATTGTTTTTTGTCAAAAAGAACTGATGTTATCCCATGTTCCCCCCCCCCCCCTGCTTCAAGTTAGCATGCCCCCTGATACAAGGAACGCTGCACTGTGCATACCTTTTTCATAAAGACCTGGGATCCTATTCTAGGTTAGGAGATGCGGTACAACATTCATTTACGTGTTTCATGTTTCACTTAGTTCCTGATATAATGCACGGGGCTTGATGCATCATGAAAGACATCTTGGGCTCATTGCTGAGCGTCTATCACCTATCATTCACAGATTGGACTATAATAAGTGCTCAGTAAATGCCAAACAACTTTTTTTTTTGAGACTGTGTGAACTGCTTTCTTAGCTGCTCTGGTGGTGTAGTCATTCTGTGTTGGACTGTGAGCCACATGGTCGGCAGTTTGAAACCACCAGCAGCTCCATAGGAGAACACCGGGACTTTTCCACACTCGTAAACAGGTGGGGGTCTCTGAAGTCCCCGGGGGGGTCGCTATGTGCCAGCATTGAAAAGGTGGCAGTGAGTTTGGTTTTTGGTTTTGGTATGAAACACTGCATTGGGCAAAGTTTGGCCTTAGGGATGAATTGAGAACACTAGCTTTGCATTCCACGCCCAGTTTGAACTTGAATACATTAGCTAAAAATTCAACGCGGTGTGTTTACAAACTTAACTCTAGGTCTTTTATTTAGGAAGAAGGCTTCATGATTTCGGTAAAAGGGAATTAAGCTATGGAGTCAGAGGGTCTGGGCTGAGATCCTAGGTCTGTTATTTACTTAATTCCTTTGAGCCTTGGGTCCCTCATCTGTCAACTTGGATAATTTCAATTGCTTCATAGAGGCCTTGGACCGATCAAATGAAATTATGTAAAAGGGGCTAAGTTATTATTTAACTGTGAGTTATTATCACGAGTGTGCTGAATAATTAGTTATCTTTTTATATATGAAGTACAGAAAAGAGTCTGGGCGCAAGAAGGAGACAGTCGATCACATATCTAACTTCTGTTTTGTGGTATTCTAGGCTACTTCCCTTCTCACCCGACCATCCAACTAGCCTGGTGGGGTTTATTGCTGCGACTTCTCAGTGCTTGAAATTCACTATTTTTAAGATAGAAATTTTAGTGTTCTTGACCCTAGGAATAAGTAAAATACTCGGTTGGGCTTCTGACCCTACTGTTTCCCTGCCCTTAGGACAAAATTATTCCTAAGGATGAAATAGTGTCAACTTCTAAGATGAGGAGTGCATCTTTTCTAGAGAATTCTGAAAGAAAAAAGCCCATGGAATCAACTGGGGAGTCACTGGAAAAACTTGACTCCAGTGTAAATTCTTGATCAGCGGTGGCTGAACTGAGGAATATCAATGTAGAGGTGGGATACTAAAAAGAAGGGTAGTAAACAAAATCGTAATAGAAGCTAAAATGGATGCTTTATTCTAAATTTACTGTCATTTAGCTTAGCAAGGAATATGAGGGGGTACCCCCCAAACCCTCGAATTGTGCTGGGCAGAGCAGAACTTTCATAGTATGCATTTTTCCCCCCACTAGGAGAGCATTGAGCAACTCCCTCTGAGTTAGTGCACCCAGTGGTGTCACTTGGGAAGGTTCTCTCTGGTCACAGTGAATTTTTTCGTAAAAGCAGAACCTCGATGTTTGGGATGGCCAATTTAAGAGAATAATGTGTGGCTGTGAGTTTTGTTGCCTGCTCAGGAACAATGCCACAGAAACCGTTGTGATGTTGAACACAGCTTCCAAGGATAGCACTATGGGAAAAACTCAAGGGTATGAGTGGTTTTCTCGTTTCAAAAAGGGTGAAACGTCAATTGATGACAGACCTTGTTCTAGATGTCCATCAACTTCCCCAATGGACAAAAATGTCGACTCATAATGCATTGGAAGTTTGTTCCACCAGGTCAGACTGTGAATCAAGCTTTCTATTTAGAGGTTTTGAGAAGATTGCATAACAGTGTATGACAGAAAAGGCCTGATTGTGGCAAACGGGGGACTTGTTTTACCACCACGACAGTGCACCTGCTCAAGCAGCCATCTCAGTGCACCAGTTTCCGGCCAAAACCAGCATTCCTTTCTCTTGCCCCACCTTACTCACCTGCCCTCACTCCATGAGACTTCTTTTCATTTCTGCAAATGAAGAGGCACTCGAAAGGACAGTGATTTGATCATGTGGAAGAGGTGAAGAACAAAATGAGGGAGGTGCTGTCAGCCATCCAAACGGATGAGTTTGAAAAATGTTTCCAAGAATGCAACCGTAGATTTGACAAATGTATTAAGTGTAATGCAGAGTATTTGAAGGTGATAAGGTTGGTTTGTTAAAAAAATAATAAATACATAGCTTTGAAAAAAATTTCATTTTGGGGGAGGTACCCCCTCCTATGATCTATGCACACACACAAGTACAGGACAGAGTCTATATATATATTACAGAATCAGTCATCTAATGGAAGTTCTAATAACGATCTATCTCATCATTGGCTAAAGGCATTAGGCCTTGAGAGTTTTATGGGTGACTTTCACAAAGAAATTTTGATTCCTCTTTTTCTCCCACATTCATTTCATCAGCTCCTCTGATCAATTCTGCTAAAATATCTGCTCACTTTCCTCCAGCTGAGACTACAGGAACCTCTCAGTGGGTCTTCTCACTTCACCTCCCACTCCTTCCCTCCTGATACATGTCCATACATTAATCAGAGTTACATGTTTAAAATGCAAACAACTTACCAATAGTCTTCCCCAGCCCTTTGAGGAAACCTCATCCCTGGACTTAAGCAGTCAATGATTTTGTTTACACTTTTACATGACTAACCTTCTTTTGACGAAGGGGACATTAGGCCCATAATAAATACTTAAGCAAGATCGTATCCCTCAGATCCTGAGAGGCTCTGTGGAATTCAGACCTCCATTCTGGATCCTACTAACAGGAGAAGCATATTGCTGGAGGACAAGATTCCTCAAACATCAGCTCCTTAGACCGGTGCTATCCAATAACGGCAACCATTAGCCACATATGGCTATTTAACTTTAAATAAAATGAAAATGAGTTCCTATTAATTAAAATTAATTAATGTTACATTCCATTCCTAGGTTATGATCAGCCATATTCCAGGCACTCAGTAGCTGCATGTGGCTACTTGTTGCTGTATTGACGTGCTTGTATTGACTTGTTGCTGTGTTGACGTGCTTGGATCGAGAACTTCTCCATGATGGCAGAAGGTTCTATAGGTCTGTGCTCTCACCACACTGGCCTTCCACTGTGGGTGACATTTTTGCTCCTGTTGTGTGCGGTCCTATCAAGGTAGACTCATAACCACCTCGTGTGACAAAGCAGAACTGCCTCTAGGGTTTCCTAGGGAAATCTTTATAGGATCAGGTCTCTGTGCCTTTTCTCCCAAGAGCTGCGAGGGGGTTGGAACTGCCTACCTCTTGGTTAGCAATCAAGTGCTTAACTATTGCATTACCAGAGTCCTTCCTATAGTCATGCTATTAGGCTCCTTTACTTAAAAAAAAAATTAAAAAGGAATCCGAGCTGCCTGGTCTTTTTTATCATCTAGAGATCATTTACTGAATGTCTGTAATTGTTTCTTGCCCAGAAAAAGGGCGTGGATTCCACTGCGCAAAGTTCTTAGTGTTCATGGCGAAGGGGAAGGAGGACAAGTGGTACAGCAAGACGAGCCGGGTGCCAGGCCGATTCACTCTATCACTTACAAGTCAGTGACTCTGGGCACCAGCCATACTTCCATCGGAAACTGGGATTGTCAGGGCGTGTATGTTTCGTTCGGAGTAAAGCCAATGGTAGGCATGTCAAGGACTCAGTAAATGATTTTCATGAGCTTCAACACAGAGACTAGTTACCCTTTCCACCATCCTGAAGCGAGAGTGTAATGAGAAACCCAGTCTCATCTTCAACCCCTCTTTTGGTGCTTTTGAGAGTAGTTTTGAAAGTCTTCCCTAGAAAATTAGGACTCTTTTTGGAAGCATTCCCTCTAAAATGGTCTTTACGGACTGGCTGCGCACTAGTCTTAAGAGGCAGCATGGGCAGGGTGGATGCCCCCGTCCAGATAGTTTGGTCTCCACTAGCTGTTAAAGAAAACTTTCTTGGTTTCTTTAAAACACGTGAAAGAAACATAATTTGGGCTCAGTAACTGGTGCTATACTGGCTTACCCTCACTTTAAAGAGCAGAGGGTGGCTGGGGGTGGTGGTGTTGTTGGAGGGGGGCTGGGCGATGAGTGGGATTTTCTGTGGTGCAGAGAAATCGATGCAGGTTCGGGACACCGGTCACAGGTTCCAGTTCTCCCTCTCTGGGGATTCTGCCTACTTACCTCTTTGTTCAGCTCCTGGATCGTCTGCTGGGCGCTGTTGTACTTGGTAACAGTGGCATCGAGTTGTGTAGAATAACGCAGCAGGTCTGCTCGGAGATTCTCATTGTCCTCCTCCAGCTTTCTCAAATTCTCTTTATACTGCGCTCCCATTAAAAAGCAAGTCCAGAGAAGAGGTGTTAAGCCCAGGCTCCCAGGAAAGCTCCACTCCTTCTCTCCCTCAGGGTCTACGCTCCACCCCGGAGAACTTGGGGCTTTCTCTCCCCTCACTCCTCTTGTTCATCTTCCCACAAACCCCCTTCCCTCTCCAATCGGTCTGAACCCCCACAGCCTCTGCGTCCTTTGAGGCCCGGCTGGGCTCACGTTCGACCCGGGTTATCGCCCCTGGTTTGTGTGTCTCACCGTCTTCTCTTTCTTCCTCCCTTCCTGCCGGATTGACTCCAGTTCTTGCTCTAGCGCTTTCTCCTGCTCTTTGCTCTTTTTCAGTTGTTCCCGTTTCTCCTCCAGCAGCCTTTTGAGCTCTTCAAGTTCGTCTTCTAGATTGTCCTTGATGGCGGTTTGCTCTTTCATCTGGAGAAATGAGGACGAGGCTGAGAGAGCGTCTTTGACTATGGGGTATTTGGGGTGCGGGATGTAAATAGTTGCACAGAGGGAATGACTGAAATAAATAGGAGGACAATTCTATGCTTATAGATTGTTGTTGTAAAGTGCTGTAGAGTTAGCTCGGACTCATGGCTACCCTGGGCACAACAGAACAAAACACTACCCGGTCCTGTGCCATCCTGACAATTGTTCCTGTGTTTGAGCCCGCGGTGTCAGCCCCTGTGTCAGTCCGTCTCGTTGAGCGTCTTTCTTGGTTGGACTCTCACTCTGTTTTACCCAGCAACCATCCTCCATTAGGGACGGACCCTTCCTCATCACCCGTCCCAAGGATGTGAGCCAGGTTACTTTATTTCTCGATCGCTGTCCCATGGACATCAGCCCTCTCACCCACGTACTCACCAATGCTTTCTGCAGAAAATCCTCTTTTGAATAAAGTTAAAACGACTTAGAAGGGAACAAGACGCAGAAGTCAGCCATCAAAGATGAACTTGACTGACAAGGATCGTTTTCAAATCCCAGCAAGAATAACATCACCCTGTGACTACGTCTAAGCTTAACCCTTGTTGTTGTTGTTGTTGTCAGGTGTCATCAAGTCAGCTCTGACCCATAGAGATCCTGTACCCAACTGAGTGAAACGCCGCATGGTCTTGTTTCGGGCCTAAGCCTATTGATGCAGATGCTGGGTCCATCCATCTCAGGAGGGCCTTCCTCCTTATCGATGCCCCTACACTGCGCCAAGCCTGATGTCCTTCAGTGTGTTGTACTGTAGTGCTTGGGTGTTGCTGTGATGCTGGAAGCTATGTCACTGGTTTTACAAATGCCGAAAAGGTCACCCAAAGTGAATAGATTTTAGCGGAGCTTCCAGACGAAGAACAGACAAAGAAGAAGGACTGAGCTCCTCTCTTTGGAGGAAGAAGCCTTTGAAAACCTTATGCTTAAGCCTTGGACATGTCAATTATTGGCTGTGACAATGGGGGGTAGCAGAGTGCTTAGCATTCTTATCCACGTGATAGACACGTAGTTTGCGGGGTACTGGTGGTGACAGCATCCTGAAAAAAAGCCCAGTCTACTTTAATCTTAGGCCGAGGTCATGTTTGGATTGGTTGCCTACATGCCCTTCATACCTGGTGTTCAATCTGTTTCAGACGCTCTTGGGTGTCATTCAAGTTCATTTCCAGCTCTCTCACTGTATTCTGAAGCCGATTCTTTTCCTTGTTTGCAATGTCAAGCATCCTCTTGGTCTCAGAGAGTTCGGAGGTCAGCTCATCTACTTGTTTCCTAAAACGAAGTGACACACCGGAAGCAAGAGGAGGATGGGTATTAGTGGCTGTGTTGGGAGACCGTGGGGTTGACCATGGGGGAAGTCCTTGCTGCCCCACTCCCGAGCACTTGCCTACAAGTGCCTCTGGCTGGCTCCAAAGGGACAGCCTCTCTCCAGGTGGGCGCCCCTGGTACCTGTGGGACGCTAGTTGTTCTTTAGTCCTCGAGAGCTCCTCCTTCTGCTTCTGAAGGCTTCTCTGTAGTTCTTGGATGGTCTCGTTCTTCTGCTTATCCTGGGAAATGTAGTTTTGAAGTTTCATCTGGGTTTCCTCCAGCTGAGCCTCTGTCTGTGAGGCCTGTTCTTTATATTGGGCTGCTTGTTCGGCTGCAGAGACAAGAGATGAGCTGGGGTGTGGTCATGAGAGACAGGAGCACATGCGAATCTCTCAGGGGTCAGATTCTCAAGGAAGATTGCCCCCAAAGCCTGTTCTTTCCCTTTTCGCTCGAGGTCACCTTCCAACCGATCCTCATTCCTCCCCATTTCCTACAGAGTGCTATTGATTCTTTCTTCAACTACCTCCCCAGCCATCTGCTCCTCCTTGACTCAAATTAAACAAACTGCTAGAAATAGCTCCAGATGTCCCGTGTCTCTCTCTCCTTATGTCTTCAGTAACCGGTCCTGACAATTGTACAAGGGGGCTTCCAGAAATGTGGGGGAAATTCCATACTTTCATTCTATTTTCCATTTAGTTTGAAGCTCCGCCTCACGGAGGGTTGAGTCTACTGAGAGAGCCATTCCTGATCCATCTGGTGCAGAGAACGCTGCGGCGTCTGATTTGCACGACTGTGAACCCAAGGAGAGTGATCAAGATGTACCAGACTAGCTGGAGGTGGACATGGAGGTGCAGGAGTTGATGTGAGCCTTAGTGATAGGAGGAAGGAAATTCCAGGTGGGAGAATTGTGAGAGTGAACATGGGATAAAGGGAGTGGGAACGGTCTGTGCTAGGAGAGTGGGGCGGGACCAATTTAATTGGAAAAGGAAGTGAGGAAGAGTTGTGGGAAGTAGAGTAAGTGGGTAGATTAGAGGAAGCTTTGGAAGACTTTGAAAGTCTGAAAAAACCCTGAGGCTTGACTTCGTGGCTTCTGGAACAGGGACCCAGCACAAGGAAAGAGTGGTTTAAGAAAATTGGAATAAGTCAGAAGGGAGAATGATTTATTGCAATGACCATCTGGTCTACATCCTGGGTCTCAGGGGAAAGCATCCAAACATGTTGCTTATTGGTACTCCTTCATACTCTATATGTTTCTGCATCCTGCATGTTCTAATATAGTCTTTACTTTAAATATCATTTTCCTCTTTATTTCTTCTATCATATTTACTAGCTTGGGATACCAGAAGAAGGGTGGTATCACAGTGTGAAATAGTACACACTCTGGAAAAAGAATGGAGTTTGTTTGTTTTTTTACATGGGTAAAGATAGAAGAGGAAAATATTTTCTAAATTACCAAGGGATCATAAGGGCGGGAGGGAGAGGGAGGGGCAAAATGAGCTGACACCAAGGGCTCAAGTAGAAAGAAAATGTTTTGAAAATGATGATGGCAACCTATGTACAAATGTGCTTGACACAATGCCTGGCTGGCTGGATGATGATAAGAGCTGTAAGAGCCCCAGTAAAATGATTAAAAAAGAAAAAAGATAGTAGGCACTGTTTATAAAGGTTGAATGAGCGGGGTTGCCCAGATGGAGTGATTTCCTTAAAAAAAAGACCGATCACAGGGGTGAGATTAGGATGGAGTCTCTAGGTTCTGGGGATCATCTGCAGAGAAATGTAGCTGTAAGTGAAGGAATGTAGAGGGAGGGGAGAAAAGGCCTCAGGGGAGGGGTAACTAAGTTAGGATGGGAGTGGGGGCTGGGGGAGAGGCAAGAAGGATCAGGTGTGTGGAGGAACAGAGGACCTGCTGGGTCTCCACAGCTAAGAAACAAGCGTCGAGGTGGCCCACAGCGAGTTAAAGGAGGGTGAAAAAGAAGTCAGCTGTTGGCTCTCTTGTCAGATTCTTTACTTATTTTTATTTATTATTATTATTTTTTCTTTTCTTGTTAAAAAAAATCATTTTATTGGGGGCTCATACAACTCCTATCACAATCCATCCATCCATCAATTGTGTAAAGCACATTTGTACATTCGTTGCCCTCATCATTCTCCAAACATTTGCTCTCCACTTAGGCCCTTGGCATCAGCTTCTCTTCTCATTTTAAATTTGGGATATAATTCAGGTGCCAGGAAATGTACCCCTTTAAAGTAGATAGTGTAGTGGTTTTTCAATATGATCACAAAGTTGAGCCATGATCACCCCCATCGAATTCTAGAACATTTTGATCACCCCTAAAAGAAATCCCACATCCAAGGCATGAAGTTATCTGAGAGCTCAGGGAAAGCAGTTTCAGCAGAGGGGTAAGGACCCTACCCGCAGTGTGTGTGTGTGTGTGTGTGTGTGTGTGTGTGTACCCACAGTTCATTTCCCAAACCCTGTGTCTGCTGTGTGGTGGGGCTTCACAGGAGGTGGAGTTGGGGAAAGAGAGGAAGTGACAATTTAGTGAGCGAGAGAGAGGGGGCGTCTTTAACTCCAGGGGTTAAGGCATATGGGTGCCTCACCAGCTAGCTTCTTCTGCTGTTTGGTCTCTTCAAGACTCGTCTTCAGATTCTGGAGCTGCGTCCTCAGGGCCTCGCAACTGTCTCCATTAGATGTGGGCTCTGCTATTACTGGTTGTCGATTCTCAGGGGTTTTGGCGGCCTCGCTTTCTAGCTTTTGCAGCATGGTCGTTTTCTCCTGGAGGGCCTGAAAGAACCAAGTGTTCACGCGGATAAGGGCATGGATGCCAGCCAGCATGGGGAAGCTAGTTCACGCCAACCTTGTCCAAGCCACCTTGTTTCTCTTTCTGGCCATTGCAGGAGCCTCCAACCCGCACTTCCCGTCTCTACCCGCTTCCTTCCACGCTGTCCTCAACAAAGCAGTCCTCAACAGAGGGGTCCTGTAGAAGTACCAGTCAGATCTTCTCTGCTCCAAACCCTTGGGGGCTTCCAATTCATGTAGGAAGACCCCAGAGCTTGATGACAACCTCCCTTGTTGGTCATCATCAGGTACCTGGCCATCTATCTGACTCACCTCTTGCCCCCCACTCCACTCCCAAGTTAGGCTTCCTGGAACACTCCAAAGAGACTTAGGGCTTGCTCTTGCTATTCTCTCTGCCTGGAGTATATTTTTCTCAAGAGCTTTGCCTTGGGGCTTCCCTTACTTCTTTCAAAACCATGGGCTCAGATGTCACCTAATCTGGAAAGTTCTCCTTGATCACGCTCTATAAAGGAGCCATCACATTGTCCAATCGACCTCCTGCTGCGAGTTCTTTTTCTTTGTAGGAGCCCTGGTGGTTTAGTGGTTACATGCTAACCGCGAGGTCAGCAGTTCGGGACTACCAGCTGCTCTGGGGAGAAAGACCGGGCTTTCTATTCCCGTAAAGAGTTACAGTCTCGGAAACTCACACAGGCAGTTCTAGCCTATCCCAGGAGTGTCAAACTGGCAGCCCGGGGGCTGCACCCCTCGAGGTAATTTTTTGTGGCCTACGATGCTCTGAAATAAAATGAAAATAGAAAAAATTGTTATGAAAAAACAGCACTTAGGGGACATCGAGGCAATACCATACACACAATTCCCTCGTTACATTTTATTTCAGAGCATCGTGGGCCACAAAAAATTACCTCGGGGCCGCATGTGGGCCGCGGGCTGTCAGTTTGACACCCCTGCCCTATCCTGTAGGGTTGCTATGAGTCAGAATCGACTCCATTCCAGTGAGTTGTGATATTTGACAATGTAGTCTACATTAGTTTTGTTGACCTGTTCATCGTCTGTCTCTGCCCACTAGAAGGTAAGCTCTAGGGGAGTAGGAATGCTGTACGTTCTGTTACATTCTTAGCACCTCGAACAGTATGTAGCACATTATAGGTGCTCAAAAATAAAGGTTGTTGAGTGATTACATGAATGATTTGCAGCTATTTACCCTGACTCTGCTGTTTATTGTCAGCGCTCCAACGGCCTGTTTTGTCTGGTGGATCGCCTTCGTATCTTGAAGCTGTCAGTTTTAGGGACCAGCTAGCAACTACCTTCTTTGGATGCCTCTGATCCAAGTTCAGAGCTGCAGGTGTGCTGACGCTGACTACGCAAGCTTGCCTTGCTTTCACCTTTCTGTTTTGGTTCCATTTCTCAACCTTCCCAGGAGCTTTGTCTGTGCTGGGATGGACACATCAGCTAACACAACCAGTTGCTGTGGAGTCCACCCTGACTCACGGGGCCCAGGTGTGTCATGTCAGAGGGGAAATGGGCTCCAGGCTTTTGGCGGCCGGTTTGGGGCCAGTCGATCACCAGGCCTTGTGTCTAAGAAACCTCTGGGTCGTTAGCAGCTGAGCGCGCCATTTGTTGGGATCACCCAGAGATTCCTCCTACAGGTTAAAGAGATAAAAGCTACAGAGCCCCGTTGATCTTCTCAAACTACCCAACTTGCACAGTCATAAGATACTTGTCATTTAAAAAATGGAACTGCTTAGCAAAACGGAGACATGATTACATTGCTTTAGAGTTGTTCCCTCCCCGATAATAATAATAAAAAAGAGTAGATTGAGACAATGGAAGTCAATGTGCCCCAAACTTTCTTGCTATCTTGGAGGGCTGGGGAAGAACCTCTATTGTCAAGAGTCAGCATCACTGTTACAGTCACTGGCAAGTCTTAGGGACGTATTAGGTGCTGGAAGAAATTCCAGAGGAGGACTCAGAATCATTCGTGGGCCCAAAAGGCACACCCCGGGGGCACGTGCAGGGGCTGAAGAGCAGGCTCTCCCTCAGGCACGGCCCCGAGGCCTCGCACCTCTCTCTGGGGCTCCCATCCGACTGCTCCTTGCCTCACCTTGTCTTTCTCACAAGCAAACTTTTGGAGCTCACAGAACTGCCATTCCATCTCCTGCAGCTGGTGCTGCAGGTCAGCGGTCTCCTCCTCCTTTCTTTCTAGCTGGGTAGTCATCTCCTCCCGCAGCATGTGCAGTTCCAGCTCCAGCTTCATCATGTCTGTCGCGGGGTGAAACAGAGCGACGCCCTCCTCTGAACCTGGCCCAGCTCAGAGGAGAACTCTGAACTTCCTTTCCTCTCCCGCCCCCTCCCCAACCTCACGCAGCCCACAAGCCTGCACCTTACCCTTCATGATGTTCTTCTTCTGTTCGGACACCACGTGCAGCTCCATCTTCAGGTCCTTCACTAGGTTCTGGTACTCCGCCACCTGCAGGCACTGGCTGTCTTTTTGCTCCTGCAGGTACTTCAGTATCTGGTAGACGAAAGAAACGCAGAGCAGGGTGAGGACAGGGGGGTAAGAATACGTCTTCAAATGCGTGTTGTCTAACACAGGCATTTCTGTGGAGGCAGCAAATACATTAGTGGGTGCCAGGCTGGGGAAGGGAAGAATGGGGGGATGCCGAACAATGCTGTTAGCTACGATAGAGTTGCTTCCGGCTCAGGGTGAGCCCCTGGGCTACAGAGTTGCTCTGTTCTCTAGGGTTCTCTTGGCTGCCATCTCAGCGGAAACAGATCTCTCGGCCTTTGCTTTCATGGTGGCGTGGAAAGAGGTAAGCTAGGGGAGGAAGTGAGTAATCAGTTCACAGAGCTTGTAGTCCCTTGGCATGAACTTTGGCTTCTACCTGGAAGGAGAAGGGAATGGGCTTTAATCAGGAGAATGCAGAAACATCTGCATGGGGTGGGGGGCAGTTAGTTGCCTGCACACCAGGGGCTGCTGGAGGCATGACGTTGTTTTCATAATGTCAGCGTTGAAACACAGCACAAGCACAGGAGGTGACGGCTGGGGAAATACAGAGTCATTCCTTAGACCCAGATGTGAGTCCTGCAGGGAATCAAAGACCCGTGCTATGCTGTCCCCAATTTAAGGGGGTAGGGGCGGGGGACAGGACTGCTGGAGGGAACTGTGATCAAGATAATCTCATTTCTGATGGAACATTCAGGTTCTATCATTAAAGCTCCAGGGAGCAATTATCTAAGGAGATAAGGAAGGTGCATTCTGTTCTTGGAGAGGTCTGTGCAGCTTTTAAAAAGGAAGTGTTATGGAAGTTGGGATGTGCTTCACAATAAATATTGACAGAGGTCCCAGGAGGAACCACAAAGTCCAACATGGGCCTCTCATTCATTCAGACTTTCTGGGACCAGGACGTCCTAGAAAGAGAAGAGTCCCACCTCTCCCCCATTGAAGAACACTTAGGGAACTGGCATGTCTTGCTCAGTCCCTGTGTCAAACCCCCTTTGACCATATTTCAGTGTCATGTGTCAGAGCATGCAGGCACACTGTCATCTGTCCACAGCAGGAGATTGTGTGGTTGGCTTTGCCAGGTAGCTCAAGTTACAGGGCAAAGCTTACTTATACTAGGACTTGGCCTAGGTTAGAACCAGACCTAGATTTAGCGTTTGGATCAATGGTTTGTCAAATCCTGCCATTTGTTTACATCGTCTAAAATGCTCATTCGGGATTAGAACCAAGGATTGAGACCATTCTGAATTGTGCAAGATCAGTCCACCTTCCCTCTGAATGAAAAAAAGGCTGGGGGAGTAATGAAACCTTTGTTCATAAATGTGCTACTTTCGACTCCAGCCAGCAACCAGAATGCCGATGGTTCTTTTGAATCTAGCACGTCCATAGGTGTTTCTTTTTTTTTTATGATTATATTTAAAAAATAATTTATATTTGTATATCCTTATATATTTTATATATGTACACACATACGTATAGCTAAAGCCATCAGCTCAGTTCTGACTCAGTGACAATATAGGGCAGGCAGAATTGCCCCTATAGTTTCTAAGACTTCAAAGGCATTTCTACCTCTTTAAGGTAGACTGTTGGTAGTGGTTTCAGAGACACATGCGTGCACGTCTAACATTCATTTCTAATCTTTAATGCTGCCTGACACATGATTCAGGATTTAAAATAACAAAATCCTAATCCACTGCCATCGAGTTGATTCTGAGTAGATCTGTCCCTGGGGCTGTCCTGAATGGGTTCACACGTCTGACACTTTGGTGAGTAGCCGACATGTCACCACTGCGCCACAAGGACTCCTTCTGTCAGGATTTAGCACGGGCTGTAGCTAGCATCTAATGAGACAGGGTCAGCCACGCTCACCCAAACTGGACGCCGGAAAACTCCCAAATCCGCCCCAGTTCTGCCTGACTCCCGCAGGCACAACGAAGCAAACTGTGTTACCTTTTTCACGTCTTCAGTGTCTCCTGAAGAACAAGGAGGATGTCTGTGGGTGGCTTGATAGGAAACAAAGTCTGCCTGTAATTTTATCAAAGACTCTTCGCGCTCCAAAACCTGGAAACAAACACAGGCCAGCTATGGTGCATTATCCACGTAACGTGCTTATTATCACTACTGTTTCTTCAGGGCATTCCTCTGCCTTTTTGCAGCAGTCTGTCATTCAGCACACACTTTTGCCGGGATTGGGAGGGAGAAGAACTGATGATCTCAATTTTATATCAAGGAAGACTTGTCTAGTGTTGTCAGAAGCCACCACTGGGCTCTTTCCTGAACAGTGTGGTCCAGTTTATGGGGCAGGAGAAGTTTCTCTTTGGAAGCTGTGACTGAAAAGAGAGACCTACTTATCAAAGAATAGTGTTAAAGATTCAAAAATTAAAGAAGGAAGTTACTTATGGAGTTGATGAGTGTGTGCCATTTTTTTCTCAATTAAAAAATGAGATTTTTTAAATTATTCGTTGAAAGTATTTGAAACAAAAATCCAAGTATTTAAAATAAGAAGTAAAAAGTCTCTCCATTTATTTTCTGCTCCTTCACTTCACCTAGGGCAGTGGTTCTCAACCTTCCTAATGCCGTGACCCTTTAATACAGTTCCTCATGTTGTGGTGACCCCAACCATAAAATTATTTTCGTTGCTACTTCATAACTGTAATTTTGTTACTGTTATGAATCGGGCGACCCCTGTGAAAGGGTCGTTAGACCCTCAAAGGGGTTG